GAGATAAAGGTTTTCCAGACAAAAATAAAGCTGAAGGAATTTATCACCACCAAGCCCGTATTAAAGGAAATGTTGGAGGGACTTCTTTAAGAAGAAAAACACGTATCAACAACAGGAATAAAGGATGGTAACAACTACATTCCTATCAATAAGTACCTTAAATGGAAAAGTATTAAGTGCTTCAACTAAAAGAGTAGATGAATGGAAAGGAAAATAAGACTCCTACATGTTGCCTATGAGAGACTCACTTCAGATTACAAGACACAGACTAAAGGGAAGGGAATGGAAAAACATTGCTTTGATGCATCTAGAAGGTATTTAAGTCAGACAGAGAACGATAAACACTATGTAATTTCACTTATATGCGAATGTAAGGAATAAAAAGAACAAACTAATCAAAAACAGACACAAATATAGTGGACAATTTGGTGATGGATAGAAGGGAGGGAGTTTGGGGGGCCGGGAGAATGTGATGAAGGGTTAAAGAAGTACAAATTAGTAGCTGATGGATGGTCACGGAATGGGGAGCATGGAATAGGGAATGCAATTAGAATAAATACGTTGGCTAGGTGGGGGGTCGGGGAGGGAGGGAGCAATTTGGGGGATCATTTTACTAACTATCTAGATGTCTAACCAATGTACTGTATACTTGAAACTGATTAAAATAAAAAATTAAAAAAATTATTAAGAGCGAAATAATGAAAAAAATGTATTATTTATTGTATCCACTTTGGAAAATTTAAGTTGGGAGGAAAATGAAATATTTTTGTTTTGTGAAAGACTTTAAGACCTAAAATGTCTTTGTTTATATTATAAGCTTTCTTTACTCAGAGCCTTATGAGAATACGTAAATATTTTAGAAGTGATTCACACATTATTTATTGTTAAGAGCAAAATAATGAAAAAAATGTATTATTTATTGTATCCACTTTGGAAAATTTAAGTTGGGAGGAAAATGAAATATTTTTGATTTGTGAAAGACTTTAAGACCTAAAATGTCTTTGTTTATATTATAAGCTTTCTTTACTCAGAGCCTTATGAGAATACGTAAATATTTTAGAAGTGATTCACACATTATTTGATTTAAATTCAAATTCAGTGAGTGTAATTAAAAGTCATCCAATAAAAACCATATAATGCAAATCTGTTAGATTTTATGTCATTTAGAACAAAATATTAAATATTTATGAATGCATATGTGAAAGAGAAAATATTTTCCATTTTTATCACAGCTTCAAGGACGTGAAAGTATTTTACTTGAGCAAACTCATAATTGTAAGGATGATAAAATGGAGGGCTCGTCATTTTATGTAGTATTTGTTATTGTTTAGTTAGTTAGTTTGGGTTGCAGAAAAAAAAAATAAAATGCAGCAGAGCCTGATTCGAATTGACAAACCAGGCGTAAATATTATAGTTAAGGAATTAAATGAAATATAGAAGCAAAGCAAAAACAAAACGAAACCAAATCATTGCACATTATGAAAACTAGTAAAAAAAGCCATTAGTAGAATAGCAAGATTGACCATACAACTAGGAATCCCTAGAGTGGAAGTGTATCTGGGCCTTCAGCAGCATAAGTTCTTGCTTTTCACTCTAATGAAAGCAGCATGCACCATGCCGATTAGGAGCTGACCTTGTGGTTAGATAGGCTTCTTATTTCTGCTTTACCACTTACCAGCTGAGTGACATTAGGCGAGTTACCTTTCTACTGTAAAATGTCCATAGTAATATTATCTGCTTTTATAGTCAGAAGCATTAAAAGAAATAATCTGTGTAAAAGTACTTGGTACATCAGAGTTGATGAACTGTAGTTGCCACCTTATTCTCTTCCTTCTTTTTCATCATCAGCACCCTTTTATTAATATGGCAAAAAAAAAAAAATAGAAGAGAAGGTGGCAGCTACAGTTCATAGACTCTGATATACCAAGTATTTAATGTGGTTCAGACATTTTCTATGATTCTGCTTCTCTCAGTGTGTATTCTTATTTGTCTCAACATTAACAGTTGAATTAGCTTTTAATTAAGAATTTTCTTCAGTTCATAGTTGTGGTCTCCTTATAAATTTATCTTGTTTATAACTCTACACTATATCCTTTGTGGTTTAGTTTTCTCTGCCAATGGCCTCATTATATCAAAATGTCTGAAATTAAACTCCAAGGGGAAAAATTCATCTGAATGACTTTTTCTTTGAGTAGAGATTCTGATGTCATTTCATACCTTAGTCAGTGATTCTGTTAAGCTCAGCTCAGTAACTTGTTGAGTCTTGTGGTCTCTGTGGCTGACAGAGGCAATGCTGGGACATTTTGTTTCAGTATAAACCTAATTGTATTCCATGTTCTGAAGAGCAATATTTTGTTTTAAAACATCTTATTTATAATTGAATTCTATTGACTCACTCTTTTCGTTTTAACTTTTCCAGGCTGCTAAGTTGGCTATCACAGTGCATGCCTTGGAGTCCCAATGGGGGACTCCGGATCAAGACGATCTACCCTGGTTTCCCGGTTGCCAATATTCAGAAGAAGTATTAGCAGAAGACATGATTCCCTTCCTTCTTCACCCTCCTCCAGTAATACAGTTGGTGTCCACAGCTCCTCTCCTTCCAGCACCAACTCAAGCTCAGGTAGCACAGGTAAACGCAGGAGCATATTCCGTACTCCTTCCATTAGTTTTCACCATAAGAAGGGGAGTGAACCTAAGCAAGAATCTACCAACCAGAACCTTAGTATTTCAAATGGTGCTCAGGCTGGTCACAGCAGTATGCAAAAACTGAGTTTGGAAGAACATATTAAAACCAGGGGAAGACATTCTGTTGGTTTTAGTAGTTCACGGAATAAGAAGATAACAAGATCTTTGACAGAGGATTTTGAAAGAGAAAAGGAGCACTCAACGAATAAGAATGTCTTTATAAATTGCCTAAGTTCTGGCAAAAGTGAGGGAGATGATTCTGGATTCACAGAACAAACTCGCCGTTCTGTTAAGCAGTCAACAAAGAAGCTGCTTACTAAATCTTTTTCATCTCACTATAAATTTTCTAAACCAGTTCCACAGAGCCAGTCCATTTCATTGGTACAACAGTCTGAATTCTCACTAGAAATTACACAGTACCAAGAGAGAGAACCTATATTAGTAAGAGCTTCTCCATCTTGTTCTGTGGATGTAACAGAACGGGCAGGAAGCTCTTTACAGTCTCCATTGCTTTCTGCTGATCTCACCACAGCTCAGACACCTTCAGAGTTCTTAGCCTTGACTGAAGATTCTGTGTCTGAAGTAGATGCATTTTCTAAAAGTGGAAGCATGGTATCCCACTGTGACAACCTTGGCCACAATGATTCTACCTCTCAGATCTCTCCCAATCCTGCTGCTGTTACAAAGACAATAGACCTTATGAATACTATTCCCTGTGCAGTTATGTCTCCTGGAAAATATAGGTTAGAAAGTCGGTGTAGCACTGAATCTAATTCCTTACCAGAAACCTCTGCTGCTAATCAGAAGGAAGTGTTATTGCAAATCACTAATCTGCCTGTCATGAATGGGAGTGACTCAAAGACTCACCTATCAGCAGATACTCAAGTAGAAGAGCAAATGATATTACAAAATGGTGAAATGATGCTGGCAAGTAGCTCTCCAAGGAAACTTGGATTTTATGAACAACATAAATCAATAGCTGAACGTGTTAAAGGGATCCATCCTATTTCAGATTCAAGGATAATACCTTCTGGCGATCGTCACGTTTTTAACAAAACATCATATGGATGTGATGCAAATCCTGCCAAAGGTATGCTGTTTCTTTGTATTGTAAATATAAATTATTATAATTTATTCAGTTTTCTTACTCTGTCTCATTAATGGAAACCACGTTGTCCTCATTTTTAACTCTCTAATATTCTTTCCTACTTATAATTTGTTTAAAACCTTTTCTATACTTAATCTTAAACTTATTTTAATTGTATTATGCTGGAAATGTAATTAAGCAATATTATGCATTTTTCTTAGTTGTGTTATCCAGATTCTGACTCTCAGAAGAAAGTGGAAGGCAGCCCATTTTATTTGCAATGTGGTTTTATTTAAAGTAAGGATTCTTTTTTTTTAGAGTTTATAATAGAGTGTTGGTATTTCTTGGTTTATGAAATAAATGGATATGATTCAGCTAAAATTAATATAAAACAAATTTGTATCATTTATATTCTATTATCTATTTTAATAAAGCTCTCATTATTAAATAGGATTAATGTTTCAGGATCTCTATCTCTAGATACAATAAAATTGCAAGTTTTAAAAGCACTGTCCTTGGAGTTTGGGGACCTGGTTCTGATCTTGCCTCCATCATTAATGATCTCTGTAACTTGTGTAACTTCTCTTTGGTTTAAACAAAGGGACATGGGCAGTTGAATTACTCCAGTCTATTATAGAAAATGCTGTTATTTAATATAAATTTTAGTTCAAGAAAATTATTGAGTAGATACCCCCTACTGGGATATATTTGACATTATGTTTTATCCTTTTTCTTTACTATGATTATTACTATCACTGCTGCTGTTGCTACTACTATACAACTACTACTACTACTACTACTACTACTACTACTATTACTACTACTACTACTATAATATTGAATGATTGTGTCCCATTTACTATTCTGTGCTCTTTGGATACATTAATTCATTTGATCTTCAAATGATTGAAATCACAACTATTGCAACTCATTGTATAGGCAAGACAGTTGGAGCACAGATAAGTTAAGTAATGTGTCCAAAGTCCCAAAGTTAGTATGTAATGGTTTCGGATACAAACTTCATGAAGAAGGCACTACTATGTTTTCCAGTTAACAAATGTGAAAACTGACACCAAGGGATCATACAGCCGGTTCGTATTACAGCCAAATTACAACCATGTCAATTCAAAGCTCAACATATTAATGGCTAGGCTGTAATACATATCATGACCCTGGCTTTTTCCAAAATGTTAAAAGTAATACTAAAATATAAAATAATATTTATAAGTCAAATTGAATATTATAGTACCAAGAATCATAAGGTTTTATGACTTACCTAGCTAGTTCCTTCATGATTATAGCAATTTTAAAGTTTTAAATTCATGAATTAATTGTCCAGCTGTATAATTGTGTAGCTTAATATTTTTGACATTTGATACGAGATCACTTTTATGTATCTACTTTTTTTCACTTTTTTGATCTTGGTAGCCTTTTTTGTACTTTTGGCTTTAGTTACACATGCTTAACTCTTTAATAATAATCTAAATATAAGGAGATAATATCAATGATGATGACCCTTTTTGTATACTTAAAATGTGTCAAAAAATGTGTTAAGCAGTTTGCATGCATTGTTTCATTTAATCTTAACCAAAATTTTGTGTTGGTTATTACTAACTAAGGTTTAGAATTAAGTTAAACAATTTTATTAAATCTTATAGTTAGTAAATGGTGGATCTCAGATTGGAATTTAGGCAGTGTTAAAAAGAAATAACACAAAAAAGGGTAGAAATAAAATTATTCTAATTATCTCTGATTCTCATTTAGAAATGATGACTTGCCTCATTGTCAAATTGAATACTGTATACATTTATCTCTATGGGAACTAGAGAATGACCAAAAATTATCTTGCCGACTATTAATTTGTTGACTGAGATCCTAATTACAAGTCGTTTAGCATATGAAAGTAATTTCACTGAATTTGACAATGTGTTGCCTGTTCTTGGACATTAGCCAAATATTTATATTATCTACAATTGTAAAATAGATATATGCAAATAAGTTGGTAATATCAACAAGGAAACGGTGATCATATACTATTCTTCATTTCATGGAGATAGTCATCTGCTGTTCATAAGGACTTTGTAATTTGGAAGTTTGACATTTGAAAACCAGTTAAGTAAATGTATTCTATGTAAGAAAGAGTTGCTAAACACACTAAAATCCATTATACTAAGTTTATTCTGTATTTCTTATGAAACATTTAAGCTAGTATTTATTACACATCTGAATGCAATTATATCAAAATTAATGTAATGTTAAAATCTCTGTCAATTTAACTTTTATTCATTGGCTTAGAAAGTTACTTAAAAAAATTGCTATGTGTTGGCCAATAGATTCTAGCCAAAAGTCTTTAAGCCAGTAGATGAGACATTCACTCGATCACTCACTCACTCACTCACTCACTCACCCATTCACCCACTCACCTAATCATTCACGCAATAGATATTTGTTTTGGCACTGTATTAGGCACTAGGGCTATCGCAATGAACAAAATAGCTATAAATTCCTACCTTTATAAAGCTTACTTTCTCCTGGGGGTACTCACAATTAACATACAAATAAATAAATGTTGTATGGTAATAAATACTGAGGATAAGTTTAAAGCAGAATGAAGGAGTAGTAAGGAGTGGGGAGTGGAATTGTAGTTTGTATTTATTTCCAGCTTTATCAAAGTAGAGTCGAAAAATAAAATTGTGAAATATTTAAAGTGTTCAATGTGTTGACAATATATGTATACATTGTGAAAAGACTGTCTACCATTGAGTTAATTAACACATTCATCACCTCACATATTCTCCTTTTTTTGGGATGGGAGTGAGAATATTTAAGTTCTACTGTTTTAGCAAATTTTAATTATACAATACAATGTTATCACCTATAGTCACCTCGTTATACATTAGATTTCATACTTTATTGAAAGTTTGTACTCTTTCGAAGTCTTCTATATTCCCCCACCTCCTAGCCCTTGGCAGCCACTTTTCTACTTTTTGTTTCTGAGTTTGACTTTATTTTAAAGATTCCACATATAAGTAATATCATGCAGTATTTGTCTTCCTCTATCTGGCATATTTCATTTAGCATGATGCCCTCCAGGTTTGTCCATGTTGTCAAAATGATAGAAATTCTTTGTTTTTCAAGGCTGAGTAATATTCCATTGTGTGTGTGTGTCATGTGTGTATACACATATACACTAAATGTTATATATATACATATCATATCTTCATTCATTAATCCATGAACACTTAGGTTGTTTCCATACTTTGGCTATTGTGCAGACTGCTGTTATAAATATGGTAGTCCAGATATCTCCTTGAAATAATGATTTTATTTCTTTTGCATATACCCAGAAATGGGAATCCTGGATCATATGGTAATTTTCTTTTTAATTTCCTGAAGAAACTCCATAATGTTTTCCACAGTGATTTTACCAGTTTACATTCCCACCAGTAGTATATAAGGATACCCTTCGTTCCACATCCTCAACAACACTTGTTATCTTTTGACTTTTTGATAACAGCCAACCTAACACGTATGAGGTGGTATCTCCTTTTGGTTTTGATTTGCATTTCCTTTTTAGCTAATAAAGTTGAGCATCTTCTTATATATCTGTTGGCCATTTGCATGTCTTCTTCAGAGAAGTGTCTGTTCAGGTCCTCTGCCCGTTTTTTAATTGGATTGCTTGTTTTTTTGTTTTTGAGTTGTATGAGTTCTTTTATATTTTGGATATTAGCCCCTCATCAGAGACATTGTTTCAAAATATCTTCTCCTATTAAGTTGGTTGCCTGTTTGTTTTCTTAATGGTTTCTTTTGCTGTGCAGAAGTTTTTTTTTAGTTTGATATAGTCCCATTCACTTATTTTTGCTTATACTTCTCTTGCCTCTGATGTCAAATTCATAACATCTTCTCTAAAACCAAGCTCCATGAGTTTAGTACCTATGTTTTGTTTTATGCAATTTATTGTTTCAGGTCTTATATTTAAGTCTTTGATCTCTTTTGAATTAATTTTGGTGTATGGTAACAGATAGCAGTGTAGTTTCAATCTTTTGATGTGGTTTTCCAATTTTCCCAGCACCATTTATTGAAGAAGCTTTCTTTTCTCCATCGTATGTTCTTGGCGCATTTGTCAAAAATTATTTGCCCATATACCTGTGGGTTTATTTCTGAACTCTCAATTCTGTTCCATTGGTCTGTGTGTCTGTTTTTCTGCCAATACGATGTGTTTATGATTATTTTTGCTTTATAGTATAACTTGAAGTTAGGGAGTGTGATAACTTTGGCTTTGTTCTTTAAGTATGGTGGGCAGAATACTACTTAAGATTACATATTGGCAAAGACTTGACGGTGATTAGGGATTAAGATATACAGATATTTCAGAGAAGTATACCAGTACCAAGGCTATGGCATAAGGGTCCTGGGACTGGAACATGCCTGCAATTGTCTAGGGTTATAAGAGATCCACTGTGCATTAAACAAAGTGAAGGGATAGGGGAGCCAGTAGAAAATGAAGTTAGGGACCTGAACAGATAAATGTTGGGGAGGATCCCAGTGTGGGGTGAAGAGTAGGGTCTTTTCATGAGGAACCTGAATGACCATTGGGAAAACATCAGCTTATGATTAGAGGAGTGATTGTGATCAATCTCACTTATGTTTTAAATGTATCATTCTATGTATCATTCTGGTTACCATGTGGGAAGTAGATAGTGTTTTGGTGAGGGATAGGCAGATGGGATTAGCCAGAAGCAGGAGACTGTTAGGAAGTACTGCAATAACCCCCAGGCTAGCATTGATGGAGTTTGGTTCAGGATATTAGTGAGGGACCTAGCAAGACGTGACCATATTCTATATACAATTTGAAAGTAATAAGGACAGGATCTGCTTATGTGATTTGTGTAAGGTATGGAGAAGCCACAGATGACTCTAAAGGTTTTGGGCTTCAGAATGACTACGTAACTATGCAAACTAAACTACCGTTGTTAATTTAAAAAGTTTTCTGTGATAGAGATTTTTAAATGACACTAAGTTTCACATTTACCTTCAATGGAACATTTATAAAAACCGCATTTAAACATTTATAGTAATTTTTATTTATTTGATTTTTTAATAGTTCTTGCCAGTAGCCTCAGTCCATATCGTGAAGGAAGATTTATAGAGAGGCGACTACGATCCTCATCAGAAGGAACTGCAGGGAGTAGCAGAATGATTTTGAAACCAAAAGATGGAAATATAGAAGAAGTTAATAGTCTAAGAAAGCAACGAACAGGTTCGTCATCTTCAAAAATGAACAGCATGGTAAGTAAATACATATCTCTACAAATGATAAAATAATTCCATACGTATCTGGCATGTTCCTGCCTCTTGCAAAATGAAAACAGATTGAAGAATAGTCTCCACATATTTGAAGAGAAAATTGATCTCCGTAGTTGAGGTCACAAGTCAGAGATGTTAAGTTTTCACTTAAGACTCTCACGGGTTCTGACAGATAGGAGCATAGCATGATAGCTACACTTAATTCCTATCTTCCTTGCTTCCATGGAACATTTGATGTTCTCTATCTTAGAATAAAACTCTGGGATACACAGCTGAGAAAAATGCTGATCATCGGGATGCCTTCTGACACCATCACCTCTTTACTCTACAGCCATTCTTAAACATGTCCTTTTGTAAACCACACTGCTGCCAGGGTCCCTTAAACCTTTTTACAGTTGCCCCTCCACACAAGGTGAGGAGTCTCCAGGGTCAAGGCAAAATGCCTGTCCAAAGCTTTAACACATTCTAGGTAACCGAGATTCCAGATTCGTGGTCTAAACTATGGGAGATTGCAGATGGCGGGGGAGCGGGGGTAAGCAGTGGGGAGAGTCTGAGAGTCTGGGCTTGCGCTTATGGGCTGGGTGTCCATAATGTGAGATAGAGCCAGGGGAAGAAGAGATGTGTGGACTGCAGCTCAGGAGATCCAGGAAACTCAGGTCTTACAAATATTGAGGTGTACTTGCCTTTTGGAGTTCACTTTATTCACTTCCTAACAAATGTGTCCTTTATCAGCAGTGTCTTTGATTCCTAATATTTAACAGTGTTTCTTTAAAATGATCTGTCTACCTATTCATGCATAGATGTGAAAAAAATGCTCAGAACTAAAGAATCTATGATATCTCTATATATTTTAGATAATTATGTTTCAAATGAAAATGTTAGCTCATCTGATTCTGACAATTGTATTGTGAAGAAGCCTTAAGTTACTGAGACACCTCTAGTGATACCAAAACTATCTGAGTGATACCAAAACTATTGTACTTAAAGTTAGAAGTTCTAGGCATTAGGTCAGGCTTAGCCAGATTTTAATCTTGGATAAATCAGTAAGTACAAAACAACAAATGAAAATGAGTTCCTTATTTCTATTATATTAAAAAATAGGTGTATTTATATTTGTATATATAGATATTATATTATGTTTCATCTTTCTTTTTGTTCTTTTTTGCTTTGAAAATATTATATTATTGTTGCAATTGATATTTTTTGTCTAAGGACATGTTAAGAAAGATTTCCAACTGATGCAACATTGAAAATTATGGCTAATGAATTATTATAAAACATGTCTCCACAAAATGTCCATTATTATTCCTTCATAGAAAGGCATTTATATTAATAATTGTGCACTATTTATTATACTTTCCTAAAGTTGAGCCTTTTATATATTCTTTATATCTCATGTTTTTCATACTAAATTTAAATAATTTTCTTTATAATATCACAAAATTACTCCTTTCAGATCCACTTGCAAGATTTAAAATTTAAAATGTCAGAACACAAAAATGTAATTTTGTTCTTTTACTTGAGGCTTTCAATAAATTTTCGAAATGTCTCTGCAGTGATGTAGGTCTTCCACTAGATGGCAGGATGACACCATTGCCACTGGGGAAAGGTTATCAAGGTTGGGACAAACTTGCTTGCTATATTGTGCATGTTCACTGCATTTACGGGTAAATTTGTTGAAATAAATACTGATGCACTTGAATTTTCACACTAAACCTGTAAAAAGTTACTTTATGATTTTACTGTTTTCCTTTGGATTTTGCAACTAATATCTCAGTCTCCAGTTAACTTACAGTTTAATAGTTAATTTAAAATGCATAAAATATATTCTTTAACTCATAGCAATCTAAGGAAGAAATGCTAGGATTCTTTAGATAATTTTAGCTGTACATGAAACAAGTTACTTATATATTTAGGAAATTATAGCTTTATGTTTGAAAAGTGACACATTTTCTACATTTCTTTTACAAAATAATTCAAGAGAATATATGTATTTAAGAATATACCCATGGAGAGGGGGAAAAATAAAAAATAAAATGTTAAAAAAAAGAATACACCCATGATTCAGTTATTCTTTTCTCTTAGAGCAAAAATATAATAACATGTATTTTTAAAGCTAATTTGAACCAAGGGAGTATTCTTAATGCTTCACATGTATTATCACATTCAGTCCTCACAATACTATGAACCAAGTGATATTGTTATTGATCACATTTTGCAAAAGAGGAAGATGAGGCACTGAGAAAATAAGCACTAAGCCCCCCACCTGTCCCCCCCAAAAAAAACAGATAATAAGTGACAGAGATAAGATTTGGATTTGAGTCTTAGCTGTTTAACTTTAAACCCTACATACTCTGGGGAGGTTGTAATAGATTTAAATTATTTTTTTATTTTTCCTGCATTATTTCTGTGTAATGAAATTAACACTTTTAAGGCAATCTGTGCTTGCTGTAAGTATCGACTACTACTTCCAGTAAGCAATACAAAAAAGAAACAAAATTAATACTTATTCTGGACTTAGAATGTGGTAGTATTTCTTGATATGCTGATGAATGATATTAATGTCTTTATGGAGAGATAGCTCATCTAAAAAGGAATTTCATCACATCCTTCATACTTAGAAGGAACTGGAACACTTCATATAATTAATGGGTATTTATTTCTACCAATAGTATATGGTTCATACATTAAGATTCTGAAGGTTCCTGAATGACCAAAAATATGCCCCGATAGGTGAGACAGACCACAATTCTAGTGTTTTGTATACTTTGGGGATATTTCAATCTGAAAGGGAAATGGTAGGATGTATTAATTCTTTGAATATCAGTGGCTCAGAAGAAATTGGACTTTGCTTGAATTTAGTATAAGAAACCAAAATATATCTGGAACAATTTTATAAGCATTCACATTTATTATAAATGTTCAAACTGCTTTAAATGAAGACTTTCTTTAATTTTTCTCTGAGTGACTTTCTTGATACTTTTCTTAGGTGGGTCTAAATATTTTAAAAAGCTTTTCTAGAAATAAGCTCTTTCTTTCTAGGAACTTTCCTTCCAGACAATTGTATATCAATGAATAAATGTAAGGATTTGTCATGGTTTTGCAACAGCTTTACACGGTGAAGTCTAACTTCAAATATTTACAAGATCACCCTGCTCTCATACATATATATGTGAGGATAGATTCCTGGGTGATGAATAATACAGAGGATCTGGCATCATTACAGGAAAGAAAGTGCCTGAATATATGAGTAAGACTTAGCTACAATATGTGATAACAAATAACTTCTAAATATTAATAACTATAATATGGATTTATTTCTCACTCAGTCTGCATGTTCATTGTGGAAGGTGCTGGGAATTCTGTTCAGTCTCCCTCTGAAACCGAACTGTTGAAATAGCTACCATGGCAAATACTGCCTTTCACCATGGCAAAAAGAGATCTCTTGAAGTCCTCATCTCAGTAATAGATGCTCTGACCCATGAGTGACTCACTTCATTTCTTCTCTCTAATCACATGGCCCAAACCAACCACAAAAGGCACCAAGAAGTACAGTCTCTTCCTCGTATCTGAAAGGTATAGACCTAGATATGTCTGGTGGGAACTAATGACTATCATCTTCTCAAATAATTTATTATATCTCAGTTCTTTTAATCAACTGAGATTTCCTGCTTGCCTCCTTCATCCCTTTTATCCATAGTCAAATATTTGATGGGCCCTGACTCTGCCTCACACTGCACTGGTCGTTGTGGTTGAAAAGTTGAAGACATCTTAGAAATTGAAGAATTCGTTTATACCTACAAGTTTTTTCCTCTGCAGTGTGTTCTCTTCTTGACGTAAGGGCCTTGAGATATATATTTAAATTAACTACTTGATTCAATTTCTGGGACTCCTACTACGTTTGGAAGTATTCATTTTTAGTACATTTAAAAGCTGGCTTGGAGAGTTGTGTTATTTTTAGATGACTCAGCAAATGCATCCACAAAGTTACCCTGAACTATTTGTGCTAAGTGATTCTGACAGCATTCATTTGTGGCTAGTTTTATTCTGACACAGCATAATTTCTCTCATTTGCATTTGGCAGCTGGCTGCCTTTGTGTAGACACTGCGAATCTCATAGTGAGAACATAAGCTGTAGGACTTCTTCGGTAGAACAGACTAGATTTATATTTAAGAAAAAGTTGTTACTTGCAGATCATTAGCATTTCATGTCATATTTTAATTATTTGTTATGTCAAAATCCAGAATTTAGGTAATATTGATAATAGTTAACGATCTGAGACTAATTAAGTCCTATGTTAAATAGCCAAGCACTTTACTATGCATTCACTTTTCTTCTGGGGCCTACTATTTTCTCCTTTATTAATTTATCCTTTATTTATTCATCCATGCACTCACAGTTTCTTTCAATAAGAATTTATTGAGAACTCACTCTGAATATGCAAAGATGAGAGAGACAGCCCTTGAGGAATTCAGAGTCCCAGGTAGGGAGACATTAACATGATCTTGTCAATACAACAGATTGAACCATTTTGATTATCTTAAAATTCTGAATGGGTGGAGCTTTATTTGCATTATGACCTTTGATATTAAATATTAAGAGGATTAAAAAAAGCACTCGAACTTCTGTATCTCTAATTTATATGGAGTCTATGTCACATGTTCAGTTGACACTGTTGAATATATACATAAATTCTTTTGTCTTTTGCTAATTTCTACCACTGTGGTCCAGCTGCTAATGAGCAGGGACTCTGAGAGGCACTGGGACGGTAAAGAAAAAAGTACATTAATATTCAGAGAATAAATTTCAAAACACCTCACCTGTACAACCCACCAGGCTAAAGAGATCTACTTGCCTTGTTTGGTATATGCATCTTCACACTTCCATTTTGTGACATGAAAGTTATTCAAGCCCAAAATTAAGAGCAAAGGAAAGGTGATGATTAGAAAATGTGATTCAAGAAATTTATCCTCTTATTCCT